AAAGTCCGATCCAGGCAAAAATTTCTCTTCTTTGCTCATTAAATCCAAAATTTTATTGATATATTTATGTTTATCTTGTTTATCTTGTTTATCTTGTTTATCTTGTTTATCTTGTTTATCTTGTTTATCTTGTTTATCTTGTCAGTCGAAGTCCTTTTTAGTATGCTCTTTGTTTCGATAGCGAATATAAACCACAATTTTATCTTTCAAATTACGGATTTTCCATTGCCTATCTAAGTTATTAATTAGTTCTTTGTAATTAGAATATTCTCCCAAATCCTCAATCTTTAAGCCTTTCTCTGCCATTGCTTCTTCTATGGTCTCAATAGCACTAAACTTGGCCTTATCAAAATAAGGATTATTTATTCCAGCTTTTCATTCTTCTGCCCTTTTTCTGATAGCAGCAATCATTTCGGCCTGAAACTTGTGAAGTTCGCTATTAATTTTGTCTACACGACCGTCCGCTCCAAAAATAATTCCTAAATTTATTACTTTTTCCCCTCAACGGCCATAAGGAGCCCATAATTTACTGTCTAAGTGTTTCGGGTAAATTCCGGTTATTAACATTTCAAATGTTATTGCTTCAAGTGTTTCTTGCTGATTTAAGGCTTCTAGTTGTCATCTTATTTTTTCTGCTTCGGTTCTTAATTTTTCTTTTTCGGTTGCGTAATAACTTCGTCAGTCAAAATTATCGGAAGTGGATTCGTAAGCAGTAAATTCGGTTTCGCCCGCATCATACCTTTTTCTTAATTCCTCACTTCCCAATACTTCATAAGCCTTATTTATCTCCTGCATTTTTTTATTGGCTTCTTCTTTTTCCTCTAAACTTTTCGTAGCAAACTTATCGGGGTGCCATTTTAAGGCTAATTTCCGATAAGCAATTTTTATTTCTTCTTGGGTTGCGGTTTCGCTAACTCCTAATATTTGATAATATTTCTTTGTCATAGTTTTAATTGTTATTGTGTGGAGGAACTTCTTGCCGTGCCTCGTATTGTTGTTGACTTTGTTCTAATTCTCAACTCAATTCGGCAATTCTTTCGCACTTTTCACAGAGTTCTTGAATATTTACTATGCTAATGTCAGCATTTTGTAATTCCTCTTTAATTCTCATAATATTATTTTCATGCGTCTCAATATTGGCTTGATTATAATTTTTGCGAGCCCGGAATAATCTTTCATGATATCTAGTTAAGCCGTTAATTTGTTCTAAACCAACCCTTAATTCCGTAGCAAAAAGTTCCAAGTTTCTTTTCTTTGAGCGGATTTTTTCAGTTAGTAATTCTTCCTGGGTTTTTTCAGCCCGTTTATCACTACTTTTAGCCTGATTTTTTAAGCGTTCAATTTCATCGTTTTTTCTGGCTAATTCACTGTCTTTTTCCCGCAGTCTGCTATCTTTTTCACCACTTTCTAGTCGTAAATTAGCGAGTTGACTATTTAAATTTTGAATCGCTACACTTTTCTCATCCGACCTTATTTCTAACCTTGTTAATTGATTCTCGCTATTTTCTAATCGTCTCGTTAAATCCACTATCCTAGCATTAGAACTCTCCAATCTTTCCTCTAAAGTTGCCCTCGTTCGGGCATTATCAACCCGTTCATTTTCTCTTCCATCCCTAATATTTTCATATTTTTCTCTATATTCCTCATACTCTCCAAGCCTCTCAATTAAATTTCTACATTTTTCTGCTAATTCTCTATGCTCGCCGACTAATTTATTGTAATCACTGATATTTTTTTTATATTCGGTCTCCAACCTCTCAAAAGCCTCTTTGCTTACTGTATTTTTAAGCAATTTGTTATAGTCGTCAATATTTTTGGAATATTCATTCCACAATTTATTATAATTCTCTTTGCTATTATTCAATATCCTTTCGGCACCATCTTTATTCACGGAACTCCTACTTAATTCATTAAATCTATCTACTAGATTGTTGTATCTAGTTTCTAAACTCCTATAAGGACTAAATCTTTGTAATCAACTTTCACAACAACTTTCTGAACAAAAATCTAAATCGTGACTTGCACAATTAAACCATGCTAAATTTTCATTTCCTATATTTCCGCCACATTGGTCGCAGATTACATTTCTTGGCATATCATTTTATTTAATTTTATTTATATGTAATTGTAATGTCTTTTTTTACTAATTATTAAACAGCACTAGCAACCGTTCTTTTTAACTTTTTATTCTGGAA